TGGCTTTCTTCGGACCTCCAAGATAGTTAGGACCCGCCAAATGGTGGGACCCAGACACCTGGAATAATAATAATTCTTACCTAAGATATTCTGAAAATTTATCTATTACCCAATTTTAAATATAATTTTCTATATTTATAAAATTAAATCATTTGATTGAAAAGGTTATAAATACGATTAAAACGATGTCTAACAACCTTTAATATAAAAGATTTTATCACAAATTATGGAATATGCAAAAGATTTATGGAAGATCTATATGTATATCTAAGAAAATATGTTAAACTAATAAATTAATGGCGTAAGATGTAAATACTTATGCACATGATTTCACCAAAAAAATAATTTCATGTTCACTTTGTTAGTATTACAATTTAGCCTGAAATATATAAAACCGGAGAGAAAGAAACAATCTCGTCGTCTCGAAGCGTTTCGAACTACTGATCAAATCATTTACGATTGCATCTCATCTCTCGATTGCTAGAATAAATCTTGGTTTCTCTCAAGAATTTCAGCTCAGCTCAGCTCTTTTCAATTTTATTTCACACGAGAAATGGAACAAGTAATTAGTTTTTTTTAACAGCCTTTTGTACGTACAGTAACTCACTTTCTTATTGAGCAATGGATATAATTTTTCTTTAAAAAAAATCAATGCACAACACAACAAGAAAAGGTTACATCATCGAATATTTCTTTTCTAAAGTATTACCAACTCTAAATTAGTTTACCTTTTAAGAATATATTTTTTTAATTTTTGGAAGTCTCTCTCACATGAAGAAAAATATACTGATAAAGAAGTTTAAAAATGATGTTAGAGGAAGCATGTGAATGGGACGGTGACCTTCAAAATACCTGAATACATGAACCGTGGCGACTTGTTGGGAACTAAAGTGTGATGGTTACATTACAAAAAGAAATCCACTTTTTATGGTTAGCTTTTTGCTCTTTATTTACAATTCTAGATTCCACCACTTTTTTTTAACGAGTAGTGAAAGAAATACTATTTCACTAATTAGAACTAAGCTGCATGTACTTAAATTTTACAAAACAATTAATCATTGAGGTTGATTTCTTTACCCCATCAAATAAACGAATCCCTCGGGATAGACCGGTTAAACTATCGAAAAAGGCTAAAGAGAAGCAATGGCAACTTGTATTAAGTGGACGTGGTAATCGGTGGCGAGGTAAAAGCGGTGGCCGAGGCTAGTACTATCGTCGCCACAAAGTTTCAAGCTTACCCGAAGATATATGTAGCTAATGCTTTGTCTTTTAAATCTTTACATCTTATGTAATTTAAAAAAAAAAACAGTGTGGCGTAAGCTATAAGGTTGTTTTAATAAAATATATTCGGTAAAAAAAAATAATCATTGTGTTTCATCC